ACAATAATTGTATGCATATGTTGGTATATTTATGAAAAAAACACAGGACAATATATTGCAAATGATACATACGATACCTATACTTATCAACATTTGTATTTAATATTATCTGAAAATAGTATATGCAGTGAGCTGTGTTACCTAAGGTGGAAAAATATATGGAGGCCCATTAATGAGTTTTACATATTCACAAGTCTCACTGAATACCCTCTGCCATCATGAAAATCCAGAAATTTCCTTATTTAAGAAGGAAAATCCACCAGAGGGTGCTGTAGACTATTGAATTACAGTTGTTTTTTCCAGTTATATAAGCTCAGAACAGACAAATACATTTACAAAATTGTGCAAGAGAAAAACATAATAATTGCTGTAGTATGGACTTACTATAGGGAGTGAGGCCCCCATTGTAGCTGCTCATTTGCCAGGTTCATATTCACATTGGTATAAAGATGCATTTTGCATTACTTCACATCCCCTCTAATGTTTAGTTATATTCTCTGTAAGCCTGTAGTAGGATGTACTAAAGGGGGATAAACATAACAACATAGTGGGGAATTAACAAAGCTTCCTTCTCTATTATAATGGAACTATCTGCTAAGTACGCCTATAGTAGGATGTGCTAAAGCAGGATGAACATAAGAACATATATCTCATTACAAACATGTTAGAACTGTCAAACATTCTTGGATATAACAGAGGATCCTTACTGAGATTTTACAGTGGGGTCCTGTAATTTTAGTTGCACCTATAGGGCTGTGTATTTCATTTTGTCAATTTAAAACTTGCCATACATGTATTTTTGAATAGAATAAACATTACTGATTATAGTATCAGGATTTTGCATTGGTCATGTAGATGTTTTCACTAATATAATTCATCCTATTCTCATTAGTATCTTATGTATTCTTCACAAGGATATAGTAATAGGTTTATCAAGCATTAAAATAGGCCTAACTGAAAGCTGCAGTAGTAGACCATTTGTTATACGGTATATGTGCAGTTGTCTCAGCCTGGAAAACCAGTGGGCATTTCCTCCAGTATGATGTTCTCTTATATTAGAGAATTCTCTCATATATGTATATGTCTCTGCTTTTCTTTTGGAACAGACCAACTATAGCACAACAGCTTATGTTCAGTCATTCTACACACGGCATCAATAAAGATGCTTTAATGTTTGTGTCATTGTTTGTAGAATCTATGCATTCTATCCTGAGGTTTGTCTTCTACTAGGTATACGCTAAATGTGTTATGCGATCTTGGAGAAGGTGAAAAGATTGATGACAGAACTATTATTATTAGAGAATTCTCTCATATATGTATATGTCTCTGCTTTTCTTTTGGAACAGACCAACTATAGCACAACAGCTTATGTTCAGTCATTCTACACACGGCATCAATAAAGATGCTTTAATGTTTGTGTCATTGTTTGTAGAATCTATGCATTCTATCCTGAGGTTTGTCTTCTACTAGGTATACGCTAAATGTGTTATGCGATCTTGGAGAAGGTGAAAAGATTGATGACAGAACTATTATCAATTGGGTGAATCAAACTCTCAAAGATGCTAACAAGGATACCTTAATCACCAGCTTCAAGGTAATAAATGCAACAAAGGCTATTTTATATTTGAATTGTATTGCTTAAAGGGAATGTCAAGTCTTTTTAATTTGTTTTAGTTAAACATTAACTAAATCATCTTGATTTAAATAATCTCAACAGTATATTTTATTAGGCTTGTGGTGATATACAGGTACACAGGTACACTGGAGCGGCCATATTTACTGCTGACATAGGTTCTGCTTGCTGCTTTGCAGTGCTACATAATAATTTTGCTCTGTTGCTGCTTAACACAGTGTGAGTTTTTAAGTACAATGATTTATATTTATTCCCTATGGGGCTATTACCTTATCTCACTGATTTTCTAAAGAGAGACGGGAAAATTGCAAGTGAGCCACTGAGAACTCCCTACAGTAACTAATTAATGAATCTCTTAATTTAAGACAATAGGAAAAATATGGAAGACCGAATTTGTAATTCACATGAAAGGTTTTTTTAAGCTAAACCATTCAGTAATAGTGCAAACTGTGCACTCACTGTAAATATATTATACATCCCTTCCTATAAATCTACTGTAATACTTTTAATGTTTGAAATGTACTTTATATACTAAGCCTTTTAGTAGTTTTTAGTACTTACCTATCTAAAGCTGGATCTAAAGCTGGCCATACACTATCCAGCTGGGACTGTGTGTTGACACCCACAGGTAACACATAGCAACCAGCAGAAGCAAAATGCTCAGGCATGGGCAAAGGCACACATATGCAAAGGTTCCAGCGGTGCAGGGAATCATGGGACACGTAGTCCCCATGCAGTAGATCATTTGAATGTTCCATGATGTGAGCAATGCACATTCCTTGGCCGGAGGTTTAGGGTAGCACTGCGGGGACACTGGGAGCTATAGGGATCAAACCGTCAGTCTTTGCAGCAAAATAAGTATAACGGAACTGGGAATAAACCATAGTAATGTGCTGCTAAATGCAAAACTGCTTTTTATGCAAAGGATTTAATACCACTTTAAGTGCCATGTTTGTGGCAGTAAGTCATCTGAGGTTTAGTGAACAATATTCCCACTACAGAAGGATTCTCCCCTGGCCTGGCTAGTAAATATGTGCATAGTTCATACTGTATTAAACTTTTTCTTTTAGGATAAGTCCATTAGCACCAGCCTGCCTGTGCTTGATTTAATTGATGCCATTGAACCTAAAGCTGTCAATGCAGAAATGGTAAAAAGGAAGAATCTTTCAGAAGAGGACAAAATGAAAAATGCTAAGTAAGTTATTTATATTGAACAGTGTAAAAGTGTTTGTTTTTTTAGCAGTGTAGAGCAGTGAATACAAGAGCTCTCTGCCACCCTGTAAATGGACCCCCATGGGTTCCTGAGGTTTTTAGTAGTCTGCCTGATCGCTGCCCCACTTTAGTATTATGAAGTGGGCTGCACCTCAGACAGAATGAAAGAAACACAGATTAATCATTGACCTTTTTCTTTGAATAATGATGTTATAATCCTTTTTTATAGCATATTATCTGTCATCAAGCGCAATACAAATGTCCCCTACTAGTTGGAGATGTTTGCCTTGATTGAAGTAAACTGATTTTATTATTATTTATATCATCTTTTGGCAGGACAATACAGGTGTACAGCACTCTTTGCTCAGCATTCATTGCTTAGCTTTCATTCAAGTACCAGTAAACTGGGTTCTGACATGGGGGAGTTTATTAGTGAGTCAGAAAAAAAGGAGTCGTTGGAGATTGTGATGTCCCTACTCCTCCTATTGTATTTTTTATTGTATTAAATACATTAAAAATCTTACAGTGAGAATGGGAAGCTCATGTCATGGCTGCAGCAAGTTTGCAGACCTGGGAAGTAAGACTCAGAGATCTTACATCCGCAGCAACTGAAATATATGAGAAATGTTCAGGTAGTTTAACTCAAAACGGAAACATCATTTTTTGGGAGGTTGATTGTCACTCATCAGTTGTAGGTCAAGGATCATCATTTGTTACATACTTTTATTTTGATTATGGCTGAGGATTGCGTATAATGAGTAATGATAAGATGTTTGGCATTAATGTTTCACACTTTCCTATGATGCTGCCTCTTGTATCTTTTTGCAATAGCTAACATTAAAAATTATGACCTCTTACATTTTTTTTCATTTTCTGTTTAAAGGTATGCTGTTTCCATTGCCAGAAAAATCGGAGCCCGGATATATGCCCTGCCTGATGACCTAGTAGAGGTGAAACCAAAAATGGTGATGACAGTATTTGCTTGTCTTATGGGCAAGGGACTGAACAAGTTAAAATAACGGATACATTCTACTCCATGTATTGCCATTTGATAGGCAGAGAGCCTTAAGAGGAACAGAACTGTCCTTTTCATGAATGTCAAAGCTATGGTACATAAAATGTGTATGCAATTATGGAAATGGAATAGATTATTTCAGCCTTCTGAAAACATATGTAATATAGAATAATGCTGAATAATCTCTGTTTATTATACCATGATTGGTTGTAACCAGAATCTTACTACCTACACTTTTTTCACATGGAAATGATGAAGGCCCAGGCAATTGTCACATGACTTTACAGCTAGCTATCAAGATAATAATGACTCTGTACTCCATATTTTGTTTTTATAAATTGCACAATGGAAAAACCTCATGTATATCGCTTATGATGATAAAAACTGTTGAAGTGTCAGGCTTGTTGAATAAATGTACTGCAAGAATAACACAAGAGAGAAGGGTTCCGCTATACTGCAATAAAATGATGCTGGCGTGGTTTTCATATTCAGGAGGTTGAACAAAGCCAGCCTCTGGAAATATATCTAAAGCTTCACAAGGTCTCTTTTCTTGGTACAAAATCGATAAAAGTTGATTTTTAGTTCACAATATTTCATCCAGCTTTGGAATGCTAAAGTGGAATTGTTTATACGTGTCGAACACAAATGAAACTCAATGCCGAATTGGAAGGCTAGTGGTCCAAGTTAGCTCTACTGAGGGTTGTTCTTACCTGATTCATAATACATAAAACAACTTGAGAAGAGGTAATTGTTAAAAAACAAAAAACTTTGAATATTAGCAAGTATGTGAGTAATGCGGCTTAAAAAATGTTTACCCTGGTTATGATGCTAGTCCAGCTAATCCTTAAAACACACATTAATTAATACTGAGATGCAGCATTTAATGGGCTGTGCATACTTTAAAAAAAATATTCAAGTCTTAAATTCTATGTGGGGATTTGGGGTGCAAGGGTGTATGCCAGTTAAACTCTTCTACTTTCTTATTTGACTGCTACTGGAAATTTCTGGAAAGGACAGAAAGGTTTGCCCTGCTTCATGATCATGGATGAGTATAAAAGCATGGTATTAGCAATAAGTTGTTTAATTCTATTGGGAGGTTGAGTGGACAGATTGCCTGGTTAAGTTATGGGACCTTCCTCAGAAAGATATATGACTGCCTGGACTGACAATCTGTCATATCTGGCAGATACTGATGTACTTGAGAGCATTTTAGGGCTGACATGATTTTCTTGCTGGGAGGGCTCAGTCAACACTAAAATGCAGCTTAAAGATATTCTGAACATAGCCACTATGTCCCAAAAACCAGTGCCAGTTCATACGCAGTAATGTTCTGCTGGACCTGGAACAGCTGAACAGTGACTGCAGCCGAGTAGCCCAACCCCTACAGCTAGGGATGCACTGATACCGGTATTGATGCCGATTGTGAAAATGCCCCAATACAAAGCGTCAATACTGGCGCTGAAGCCAGCACTGTAAACAAGCACCCCGCTTCACAGGAAGGCTGCCGGGCCCTTGCTGGGGACCTTGGCTAAAAATCTCCTCCTCCTCCATGCTGCCCGCACCCGCAGAGACCAACTGGGACCCCGGGTGAGACCACACAGCCATCTGAGAGCCTCACAGTCCAGCATTAACCCTGCACAGCCACCTGAGAGCCGCACAGCCCACCATTACCCTACACAGCCCACCTAAGAGCCGCACAGCCCACCATAGTCCCCACACAGCCCATTTGAGAGCTGCACAGCCCACCTGAGAGCCCGCACAGCCACCTGAAAGGTTGCACAGCCCACCATAGACCCTGCACAGCCACCTGAGAGCCACACAGCACCCTGGTAACCCAGCCAGCCCACCATTAACGCTGCACCTGAGAGCCGCAAAGCCCACCATTAACTCCATACAGCCCACCATTAACCTCGCACAGCCCACCATAGAACCTGCACAGCCATCTGAGAGCCTGCACAAAAGCCATCATAGAACCTGCACAGCCACCTGAGAGTCCGTACAGCCCACCATAGACCCTGCATAGCCATCTGAGAGCCTGCACAACCCATCATAGAACCTGCACAGCCACCTGAGAGTCCGTACAGTCCCCCATAGACCCTGCATAGCCCACCTGAGAGTCCACACAGCCCACCAAAGTACCTGCACAGCCACCTGAGAGTCCACACAGGCCACTATATACCCCGCATAGCCCACCTGAGAGTCTGCACAACCCACCACAAAATCTGCGCAGCCCACCATAGCACCTGCACAGCCCACCATAGCACCTGCACAGCCACCTGAGAGCTCGGTTCACCCCTACATACAGCCCCTAAACTAAAGCTTATACCCTGCGTCTTAAACCCCTAAAGTTAAAGCCTGCAACATTTAAATACTCAATCCTTAAAATGTATGTCAAGCCAAAAGCTTTTTTCCAGTTTTGGGAAGAGTAGGGAAAGATTAGAACTCCTGCTGGGTTTTTACTGCCCTCAATTGTTTTGCCATAAAGAAAGAGAAAATAATATATATATATATA